ATAGGAAAAAACTGAGAAGGGAGGTAAGGGAGTATATGGAAGTTCTATATTTTTCACTCGAAATTTTTGTGAAAGTGAAAGGCTCAAAAAATTAAGCTTACTAAAAAAAAAACCCCAAAACTCAACGCTCTCCCGGCCCATGGGGCGCCCGCGGCCCGCCTCCCCGAGCACGTTCCGCCGTCAGGCGATCTCGGCGGCCAGCCCAGCCGGCTATGTGACGCCGCGCGCCCCGGGGTCCTCGCTGCTCCTATAAAGGCGGGCGCCGCGCCGCGCCTGAGTAGTGGCCTTGTCCTCCGCTGTCCTCTTGCTGTGCAGACGCCGCCCCACTCTCGTCAGCCTCCGCGGGCCGTCTCCCTAAGACCCAGCACGGTGAGTAGCCGCCCACTGAGCTGGAGGGGGCCGCGACGCCCGGACTGCAGACCGGGCGCCGGCGCCGCTGCGGTTCGGGCCTGCCCCTGGCGGGCAGCGGCTGGGCCTAAGCTTCTCTCAGGCCGAGTGGAAGTCGAGGTCGACCCCGTACTCCGGGAGGCCCGGTCGAGTCCGGTCCGCCCGCTCCGCCCCTGACGCGGCGAGGCCTCCTCTGGCCGCGCACCCCTACGGTCTCGCCTGAGTGGGAGCCGAAGCCCAGGTTGGGCCTTCTCTGCCCGGGGCGAGCGGTAGCTACCGCGGAGCTCGGCTGCAAGGCCCAGGCTGCTGCTCGGGGCCTCCCTTGGCGTTAAGCCTGCGGCCACGGGGACTGGTGGTGGGGCTTTGACTGGTGGTCCACTGGCCGGCGTGGGCGTGTGTCCGTGGCCCGCCGTGTCTGGCTTTTGTTGTTGTCGGGAGCGTGGCGGAGGTGGTCCGAGACCCTCAGTCCGTGGCTCCCATCCTTTCTCTCCCTGGTATCTGGCGTCGCTTGCTGCCGGCGCGGCTGACTGTGCTGGCGCCGAGTCTGCAGATAGCCGCCTGCTCCTGCTACATGTTTCTTTTGCGTTGTTTTGCAGTGGCTTGGAGTCGTTGAAGTAACTACTGTGATGTCATATACCGTCGTCATGGTGGTGTGACTTTTGGGAGCCCTGGCTCTGAAAACTTAATTCAAGGTGTCTGGCTTTTAGAGGGATAGGATGTTCACCTGCTTTGGTTTACTTTTTAATGGAAACTTCAGGTTTGATTTTTGGCGCATGAATTTTTCATCACAGCAACACCGCAGAATGTATCTGTGTCATACAACAATACAGTCTCCTGCACTGTGCAGTCTAAAAAGAGGTTTCCTAATTTCGGGTCTCTTAAAACGCAGGGGGTGGTTGTTTTCCTTTGTGATGTGATGGAACTCACTTTATGCCAGCCATGGAGTGTTACTTAATTTACCAGTACAAGAATCTTTAGACCTTCTTTAGAATTGAAGAAGTGGTTTTGAAAGCATGTCACATAACAATTTATCCATCATTACTTAAAAGTTTTGCACTTTATATTACCATAACAGTAAAAGTTCTCTTTGAGTTGTTTAGGATTACAAAGTGCATCGAATTACAGATTAACTGATTGCTTCCCTGCTATTTAATAAGATCTCAGTTCTCTTGAGAGTAACCCAATACACGAATTTGACTATGACTAAGCGCATCTTGGTGTTTATCATGAGTTATTTGAAAGAAGCATGAAATGATATCTTGCTTTTAAAAGTAATTTTATTAACTGCATTGTTAGATTTTTAATTCTGTGCTGTTCACTTCAGTACTATGTAATATAAAAAGTACATTAAATATTTGGAAATTAAAATTTGGGCTTATGTTAAAATATTTTCCTTTGGAGATGCCCTTTGTTGTTTGTTGCCTTGTCACAGGGATGGTCCTCTGCTCTCGGCCTGTCTCCATTGAGCAGGACAACTGCATTATTGGCAAGTACTAAGCAACATGGAGAAGCAGACATGTTTGTGAACTGAAAAGTGAAATCTGATTCTCTCCAACCATGGATGATATTTCAGTGACTGGTTTTAAAACATGCTTTACTTTTTTCCTGCTTTTTCCTGACAACTTGTCTGCTTGGGGATGAGAATGTTTTTACCTGATGTAGTGGGTCTTAAGACTTTGAACCTAAAATGGTTGTGATGTGTGTTTTAAATGCCAGATCTACACTTCGTGAAAATATACACAACTTTTTAATACAACACGCTTACACAGCTTCAGAGGTGCTTTGATTAATTGTGACATTACCAGATAATGATTACTTCCAAAGCATGGGCATTTTAAAAGCTGCATCTGAATTTTAAGAAGTCTTGAATTAATCTTTACTGTCAGATACTGCTGCTATTTCCTCCCCTTTTTTGTATTTTTTTTTTTTTGAGAATCTGAAGATTGTAAGAAATTGCTGGCTTACAACTTTTAATTTTACAGTTGTTGTTTTTTTTTACCAGAACAAGTCCTTTGAAGTTAATTGCTTAATTAACTTTTCATGTAAGAGGTGTCTTATTCCCAATGACTAATAATTAATCCAAGTTAATAAATACATTTTTGGAGTAATAGATTATTAATATGGAGATTTTGCCAGGAGCTCTCAGAGTCGAATACTTGAACAATCAGTAATGGAAGATAAAGTCCGAAATTAAAGCTCCCTATTAGGTTTAGGGAATTGTGTTGACATCTGCTTAATCTTAAATTATTTTATTTTCTTGTATATAGTCTTACATTATTTCAGACATAAGTGAACATATCCTGAATTAGTCTTTTTTTCTTTCTTTTTTTTTTTTGAGTTGGAGTCTCACTCTGTCGCCCAGACTGGAGTGCAGTGGCCGCTCCCGGCCACCGCTGCCTCGACCTGCTGGGCTCCGGCAATCCTTCCACCTCAGCCTTCCAAGTAGCCGGAATTACAGGCACGCGCTACCACACCCGGCTCATTTTTTGATTTATTGTAGAGATGAGGTCTTGCTGCCCAGGCGGGTCTCGAACCCACAGGCTCAGGCAATCTACTCACCTCAGCCTCCCAAAGGCTCGGGATTACAGGCTGAGCCATTGAGCCCGGCTTGAATTAGTCTTTTTTTCAAATGAGGATTGAACTCATTTTTTCACTGGTCGGTCTCTCTGTCGGGAAATTTCTATTTCGTTTGGTAGCTGTGTTTATTTTGGACTGAACTTCCTCAGGTTTACTGGTGGTTAATTGTGGCAGTTAACTATTTAAATGGGAGTAGTCAGTGTTCGCTGGAGGCAAAAGGCAGGCAGAAAACAAATAAGTATATTTTATTTTAAGCGTACATTGCATCAAAAGTGTAGAATGTAACTCTTAAATTTTTACCAATACTGAGTTCAGTAGGGCATGCCTTAAACACTTCTGTTCCTAGTAGTAATAAATACTTTGAAAATTTTTTCTAGAAATACCGGTAGTCTAACCTGTGAATAACTATTATAACAGTGTTTTACAGGGTAATGTAATATAGGTCCTTAGGACTTTATGGTTAATAATTTAGAGAATTCTGGTTGGGCACTTTGGGAGGCTGAAGCAAGTGGATTGCCTGAGTCCGTGGGTTCAAGACCCACCTGGGTAACTTGGCGAGACTTTGTCCCTACAATAAATAAAAAATTAGCCAGGCATGGTAGCGCACACCTGTAGTTCTGGCTACTTGGAAGAATGAGGCGGAAGGATCGCCGGAGCCCAGCAGGTCAAGGCTGCAGTGGCCGAGAGCGTGCCACTGCATTCTAATCTGGGCGATGGAATGAGACTCCAACTCAAAAGATAATAATAATAATTGAGAGGATTCTGATAGACTGTAGTTGATGAAATGTCACGTAGAACTAACATCTCTTAGATTTCACATTCAATCTACCTTTTTTAGATGCCTTCAATTAAGTTGCAGAGCTCTGATGGAGAGATATTTGAAGTTGATGTGGAGATTGCCAAACAATCTGTGACTATCAAGACCATGTTGGAAGGTAAGTTTATTTAAAACCTTGGGTGGGAGGAAATAGAAATGTATAATTTGAGATAATTTGTGAATATCAAATTTATGTGAGCAGCAATCTCTCGTAAGGTGCTCAAGAGTATAAGGAGGTAAAGTTTACATTTTTTTCTTTAAAGTATGACCTGCATTTTTCTGATATAGGTCAACCTCTCTGCATTGTCTGAATTGGTGAAGTTTTTTTTCAGTGGATAAGACCTTAAGCTAATAAATACTGAAGTCTAGCAAGCATCAGATCCATTTCTCTTGCAAGTAAATTTGGATTCACAAGTTTTAATGACAAAAATAAAAGCCTTTGGAAAAGCGACACCTTCCTATATGGTAGCTAAATAGCATACATTGTTTCAGTGGAGGGAGTAAGTGCTGTAGCTTACTTTGTAGAATTTTTTTTTCCTCAAACAAGCTTTCTCTTTTGTCTTTTTGTCATTCCTCTGAAACTGCTTCAAAGCGTATGTATAAGGTAAGGCAAGAAAACAGGTCTTGAAACTTTGAAACTTTTACTAGTTGATGTGGATCTCATTTTAGTATTACAAATCTGGTACAAATCAGTTTCTAGAATTGATGGACGGGGGACCCTTCGTAGTAATAAGTGCTCTTAGGTTTTATGTAGGAAAGATCTGTATATTTATATGTGTGTGTATGTCAGAGGTTTTATGTAGGAAAGATCTCTCTATATAAATACTTAAATGAAGAGAAGGATTATGTGCCAAGCACTACCTATATGCTGGTGAAAGAATGTAAGCGAGACATGGTCTTTGCCCTTGAAGAATTTATATAAACTATTAGGGGAGCTAGACAAAAGGCAAAATTGTCACATGGTGTGACTAGTGTGTTAATATTAAGCTGTGTGCCAAATGGTACTATGGGAATATCTTGACTGGTATTATCCTTTAAGTTTTTTGAAGAAGACTGCTGTATGTAGAACTAGTAAGGTGTTATTTCAGATCTAGTAAATTAGGATGTTTTGGGAGATCATTCTGAGGTAAAGTAGAACAGGGTATGTTAGGGAAAAGTAAAATTGAAGTTTTTAGTTGGTGTGAGATGTAATTGTGATACGTAGTTGGTGGAGCTGTAAAACGGGTTTGAGAGTAATGGAGGAGAAAATGACTTTGTGCTTGAACTATGTTTGATATTCCTTCAAAAGATCTATGTAGCAATCTACTAGGCTGTTGAATTGAGTATGTAGATCTTTGCTCCAGAGTTATAGTTCGCTAGGGATAAGTAGACTTGCTTTATTTATGTGTTGGGTTATGGGAGTATAACTCTATGGAAGTTGATGATGGTGGAGTAGAACTGGGGTGTTAAGCATACGGAAGTCAGAAGTGGAAAACCAATGGAGCAGGATTCGTGGCAGCCTAGAGAAAAGGGGGCATTTCTAGAGTGATTGCTAGATTCATGTACTGTAGACTGGTCATGCAGAATTTCATAGTTAATAAGTTAGAGGACTTTTAGTGGCAGATATTTAGGTTTTGTAGAGGCAGAAGTGAATTGCAGAGGGTGTATCTTCTAAGTGGGCGACTTCTGTTTTCTAATAAAAGCTGAACATATAATTCTTTTCGGTAATTAGCACCAATCATATGGCACTTACAGTCCTGTATCCTGGTAACTTACATACATAGACCACTTCTATTAAGTTGTAAACCCCTTGATACATCCCACAGTCACTGTTCATCAAGTACCTGTTGAATGAAGAAGTGTGTTATGGTCACTAATAAAGAGTGTGAAAGCAATCCAAGTGTCCCTAAAAGCCAGATGAGTAAGGCTTTATCTAGAAGATGTAGAAACTGATACCAGAATTGCTGCCTAAATACTTGCTTTGGCAATGAAAGTGTTCTTTGTTTTAGTTGGTGCCTGACACACTAACCTGTCCTGTGCTGCTTCAAAGAAGCATTTGCCAATTTTAAGAACATAGGGCTCCGTCAAGGTTTTCAATGCCAACTTTGATCACTGAAGAGTAGAGTGATAGACAGCAACAATTAGATGATTCTTTACCTCCATAGCCTTTAGGGATCAGAGGTGAATGGTTTTATCTTAAGTACCAAAGACCTATATAAGATTCTAGCCTCTCAAGGACTAGAGTCTTTTTAATTTGGCAACATGTGCTTTTCTTGTTTTCCATCCACAGTTTCTCTGGTTATCAGTTTTGTGTGACTTAGAAAACAAAAAATAAAACCTTTTAATCACAGGACAATCACAAGTGAGAATCTTGGCATGTATACATGTGGACTGGCTGATTAGTTAGGTCCAGAGTGTGGTATCAAGGATGCAAGTGTCTTTTAGAAGTCCTTGAAACTAAATAGCTTAAAGGAATGATTGTTGCTACTTGTGGATTTAGTCTAAGGCAAAAATCATTGCACATCCTTAGTTTAAATGCTAGAGAAGTAAACCTTTACAGTCATAAAGGCTTTGTTTTTATTGTGACTTAAGCCTTCTCCCAAATAACATTTGACTCTAAACAGGTTGGTCTCCTGTGTTATGTTTCCTCTAATATCTTAATTCCCCAAACACAAGTATTTTACATTGTGTAGCTTCTTTCTCTTGCCTGATTAAAAATATTTTATACTTGTTGAGGAAAGACTTAAATGACTTGATTCAAATTGATCTTCACAGGGGACATTGTCATTTTATAGTTTTACTCTAAGCTGAGATTGGGAGCAAAGACAGGCATTGATGGGAGGGAGGAGAGAGGAGATGAGTGAGTTTATATGAAGAGAATAACATGAATTGAATTATTTTTGAATTTACTCTCTCATCCTTATCACTCTACTGGAACTGCTTGTTCCATGAACTCCATGTTGTCAAGTGCAGTGTCTGTTTTCAGTTCTTATCTACACCTTTTGACAGCATTGGAAGCTTGATTGTTCCCTTCTTCCCTTAGATTCCAAGATTCCACTTACAACTTACCTCACGGCCTTCTATCTTCTCTCTTTAAAGCCTGTAGTCCTTGGACCTTTTCACTGTATCTGTACTCACTTATTCCCTTGGTCATAGTCTTGTAGAATTATAAATGACTATACACAAATTCCTGAACTTACCTACAGTTCTGATCTCTCTTTGATACCTTGACTTGCATATACAACTGCCCTTGGATATTCAATATCTCAGATTTATGAAACTAGAGCTCTTGATCCTACTTCCTAAAAATAATAGTTCCTCTGGCTGCTTACCCCTTATCAATTGATGGCAACTCTGGCGGCAACTCCATCCTTCTCATGCCATAAACCTTAGTTTTCCCTGACACCTTTGACATTCTGCTTCCCTTCTGTTGGCAAATTATTGACTCTACCTTCAGAGTGCATATAGAATTAGACCACTTCTTACTTCCTTTTTCGCTGTAAACCTTGTCAAAGCCACCATCTTGTACGTGGAGTATTGTCAGCCTAATAATACGTTGCTCAACCTACGTTCTCTTTAGCTTCCTTACATGGAACATTATCAATAGTTTCTTATATATCCCTTTGGAGATACTTTAGAGATATATAAGCATTTTTCTATTTTTATTCAGGTAACATTTATCTCTTTATACCTAGTTTAAAAACTCTAATCTTGAGATTATACTAGTACGTGTGAAGCTGCCTGCCTTTGTTTGTGTCAGTGGCTGTGTGATCTGTTGTCTATATCTATGTGTATACATCTTTGGGCTTCACATTTGAAAAGTTTGAGATTCTATTACTTTTTAAAATGTTTTCCATTTAGAGAATTTGGTTTAAATAGTAAGAATTAGGGGTCTATCTTTAACTTTTTTTCTAGATGACTGCCCATTCAACCCCATTTACTGAATCAGTGTTCTTTCTTGTTAGGAACTTCTTGGCCAGGCACGGTGGCTTAAGCCAGTAATCCCAGCACTTTGGGAGGCTGAGGCGAGAGGATTGCCTGAGCCCAGGGGTTTGAGACCAGCCTGGGCAACTTGGTGGGACCTCATCTCTACAATAAATGAAAAAATTAGCTGGGCATGGTAGTGCGTGCCTGTAGTTCTGGCTACTTGGAAGGCTGAGGTGGAAGGATTGCCTGATCCCTGCAGAGTGAGACTCCGACTCAAAAAAAAAAAAAAAAAATAGAACTTCTTTTATATAATATTCCTGTATTTGTCTACTCACACAATTTTGTGTAGTTTTGGGTTTTTCATGGACCCCATTGTTAGGAACCACTGATTTTAAATACTCTTAAGAGAACTATTCTTAGTAACATCCTTTTTATATTCTTTTTTTTGAGTTGGAGTCTCACTCCTTTGCCCAGGCTGGAGTGCAGTGGCATGCATGCTCACGGCCACCCCAGCATCAAACTTTTGGGCTCCAGCAATCCTTCTGCCTCAGCCTTCCAAGTAGCTGGAACTTCAGACGTGTGCTACCACGCTTGGCTATTGTTTATTTTTTATTGTAGAGCCAACACCTTGCCAAGTTTTCCGGGCTGGTCTTGGACCTGTGGGCAATCCACTCGCCTCGGCCTCCCAAAGTGCTGGGATTATAGGCTGAGCCACCGAGCCTAGCCCCTTTTTATATTATTTCAGACAACGTGTCTTTTCTTTTAAGTTACAGTCATTGCTTGGTATCCATGGGGGAATTGGTTTCAGGACACCTCTGTGCATAACAACATCAATGGATGTTGATTTTTCAAGGGACTTGAACCCTTATGGTTAAACTGTGTGGTATTTGCACATAACCTATGCACGTTATCTCATATCCTTTAAATAATCTGATTACATATAATAGCTAGTACAGTGTAAATTTTAAATAGTTGTTATACTATATTGTTAACTTTGGAATATTTTCTCTGTGGTTGGTTGAAATTTACAGATGCAGAGCTCATGGATACAGAGGGTTGATGACTATACTTTTTGAGACATAGCCTGGTTGGCATAAGTATTATAATGAAACTAGGAATAATGGCAAGTTTCTTCTGATTTTCTTAGATTTGGGAATGGATGATGAAGGAGATGATGACCCAGTTCCTCTCCCAAATGTCAATGCAGCAATTTTAAAAAAGGTAAGATATTTACATTTTTAGAGCGGGGACGCTTAGACTTAATGAACTTAGCTTTAAAATTTTTACATACTTCCATTGTTCCTTTGTGTAGATGAGTAGTTTTGAATCTAGCAAGTGGTATTTTTAATCCTAATGAAACAAAAATGTAGATAACTTTTTTTAGGCCAAAAATTCCTGAAAATAGACTCAAACCACTCTGGAATTTATTCTGATATAGATTTTATTTGGGTATATACACTATTTCAGCTGACATCAGTCAAGTTCATTATGCTTAAAATATAATGCTAATTGATTGATACAGGTAATTCAACAATCCATATTCAAACTTACTGCTGCCCGGGCTCAGTGATTCAGCCTGAAATCCCAGCACTCCGGGAGGCCAAGGCGAGTGGATTGCCCAAGTCTGCGTGTTTGAGACCAGCCTGGGCAACTTGGGGAGACCTCGTCTCTACATAAGTCAAATATTAGCTGGGCATGGTAGCGTGTGCCTGTAGTTCTAGCTATTTGGAAGGCTGAGGTGGAAGGATCACTGGAGCCCAGCAGGTCGACGCTGGGGTGGCCATGAGTGTGCCACTACCCTCTAGCCTGGGTGATGGAGTGAGAATCCAACTCAAAAAAACCAAAAAAAAAAAAAAACTTACTGCTTAAAATTATTTTTAAATTGCATGTTCTTAAACATTTATTTGAATATTTGAATGTTCTTAAATAATACAGTGACCTACAGAAAGAAATTCTCTCTGTTTCCTTGTCTGTTTTCATTGATTGGTCATCTATGCTTGGTACACCTATGCAAACACTTCTCTAGGGTAGATGATCTATATGTAGAATATCTGGATCACAGGATTGCATTTACACCTACATTTTGATAGATATTGCTAAATAGCCTTCCATAAATATATTACTTCTAGAGCATGGTGAAATTAAATCATGACTTACTTTTATTAGATTTATGTTTTTGAAATGACGAAAGTCAAAATAAAGGAACATGTAATACTTTACTCCCATTTCTGTCCCTGTCTACCCAAATCTCCTTCCTTCAGGTACATTTTTACCCTTTTAGCATTTTGTAATGCAGATATCAACAAGGTAGCAAGTTATACTACAGCAGATAAATTTTGCAAAGTCATAATCACATCACAGAATTAAAAAAGAAAAAAAAGAGGGTGTGTGTTAATATAGAAAGGTCACCATTTCACTTTGTTTTATGAAAAAAGAAAATGTTTGTTTGTTTTGTTTGTTTTTTTAACTGTGGTATTTTTTTTAACTGTGGTATGATTATGACTTTATAAATATTTTTGTAGTTTATTTAATCAGAGCCTGTGAATATTGAATTGTCTAATCTTTTGCATGAGCACATTTAAATTATTGAAATGCAACAGTATATGCAAATTGAAAAAAGTTTAGTATTTGTCTACTGAATGCGTATGCCTCAAAGGGAATTTGAGAAGTAAGTTGATCACCTTACCTTGTGTCTTTGCATAAACATTCCCACATGGAGTAGGCTTTTAATGTTTCAGGGCACATGGCTCTAACACAGTGAGCTATTTAATTGGATATTCGTTCTAAAGAAACATCAGCCTTTTTCCACATTGGAGTAAAAACTGGCTAGACTTAGAGATGGAGATATTCAGCTCTGGTTGGCCCTTCCTCCAAGATTTTTTTAAAGGTTACTTGAAAATATGTAATTTCATCTTATGCTCTCTTATTTGACTCTTGCTTTCACGTCCCATTTTTTCTAATGGACTTGTAGTGGTCAAATATACATAACATAAAATTTATCATTTTAATCCTTTGCACTTGGATGGCCCCTCTGAGAGGACATTCTAAATCTAGCAAACCACTCAGAAAGATGCCAGCACAATTTTTAAAAAAATATATGTTTCCTTGAAGTTTTCCATTCAAATTGCATGAAAAAGCAAATAAAGAAATGGAATATATACTGATATATATATTTAAAAAATCAGCTGGTGTTATGTAGAAAGAGAATGTATGATGGTACAGTGGGTAAGAAGGTAGTAATAAGAGCATTTGTATAAGAAAGGCAGCTGTGGGTATACCCTTTTTATCATGTGGCATAATAACTTGAAAAGATAGATAAGCGAGTTATTGTAGCCTTAAAAGAGACTTTTGAAGTTGAAAGCTGATTGTGTTGAAGTATCAAGTGGCACAGATCGAATATATCTATCTGTACTAAGTTGAAAATTAAAGGGCGAAAATATAATTTATAACATATGGTCCAAATGAGCCTACCAAATGCACTAGCTGATTCAGAAGCAGGGTATCTTTTTTCAATACTTGCCTACTGTGGCAGCATAATATCTGAAAACATCATTCAACCTGATCTTCCAGAAGAACCAGAATTCCATTACATTTATATAAAAAGTTTTGGAAAAAGTTCCCAATGCAGCAGGATACCACATGTTCACTGACAGATATTACAGTAGTATTGTACTAGCAGGGGAGCTACTAATAGTGAAATGTCACTGATACAATCAGAGTTAACCAACAGGAAATACCAGTACAAATTAAAAAACCAAAGTTTTTAACAACAAAAAAATATGAAAAGTATTCTTGTGCTTCTTGCTTGGAAGGGCAAAAGGATTGTTAAAACTCTCAGCACTTGGAATCATGCAGGAATAAAATCTACCATAAGGACATTACGTGGTAGAAATATATCAGTCAAAAGTGTGAGATTATTGTAAATTATATTGCAGATATGAGTGATGTGGATCATGTGGATCAATATGCTTCTGTTTTTTGTGAAAATCTTTAAAATGGTGGAGGAAATTATTCTTCTGGGGACTAGAAATATGCATTATTAACTCCTACATACATACTGTGCTGAGCATCAAAAAAGGCACAATGAAAAACCTATGTCTCATTTGAAATTTGTCAAACTTTTGATCGATCAGTTGAGAATTGGTTTTCAGAAATCACAAGTGCATCCTTTCACATTGTCTTCAAACAACAGACTGGACATAAATTATATATTTATGTGGGAGGAAGAAAATAAGACTGCATTGTCTGCTTGAATAGAAAAACACCAGGTGGAAGATGTCAAATTACTATTGCACAACATATATCAATGAACCTGCAATGCATGTCAGTGACTGTTTCACACATATAAAATTTTTTATTTTTTTGGACATAAATAAGTTCCTCAATGTCCAAAGTTCCATTATAAGCTAAATATCATTACAATAAAATAATTGGTTGCAATACTATATTATTTAATATGAAATGATTCGTTTTTCACTATTTCTTAAAAAAGTATGGTCCACAAGATGTCTCTGAGTGCAAAGGGTTAACTTTTTAAAAGGTGTACCATTCGTTAACATGAAATATATTCATTATTGTGCAACTATCACCATTAACCATCTTCAAAACTTTCATCATCCCAAACTGAAACTCTGTACACATTAACTAATGACTTCTCATTTATCCCTCTCCACAGCCCCTAGTAACCACTATTCAACTTTCTATCTGTAAGAATCTGGCTCATAATACATGTATAATTCTGGTTCATAATACATGAATTGTATAATATCTGTCCTTTTGTGTCTGGCTTATTTCATAATTTTTTGAAGGTTCATTTATGTTGTGGTTCAGTGGGCTTGAAATGTACCCCACATCTTTCTAATAAAAATTTAAAAAATAAATAAAATGATTTTAAACAACAAAAAAATTGTGATAGAATACATATAAATTTTACTATTTTAACCATTTTTAAGTGTTCAGTGGTATTACCTAATGGACTTTTTATATGAGAGTTCATTAAAGTTTTTACCAGTTTGCCTATCTTTTTTTTGAGCTGGAGTCTCACTCGGTCACCCAGACTGGAGTGCACAGCCTTGACCTGCTGGTCTCTGACGATTCTTCTGCCTCAGCCTTCCAAGTAGCTGGAACTACAGGCGCATGCTACCACGCCCAGCTAATTTTTTTATTGTAGAGATGAGGTCTCACCAAGTTGCCCAGGTGGGTCTTGAACTCGCGGGCTCAGGCAATTCACTCACCTCGGCCTCCCAAAGCACAAGATTACAGGCTGAGCCACCGAGTCCGGCTGCCTATCTTTTTTTTAACCTTCCTGTGAGATAACAAACAGTTTGCCTATCTTCTGTCAATTTGTGTTACAATTTGGAGACTTTATATTTTATCTAGTTAGGTTTCATTCTTTCTGATTTTTGAGTATTGTTTTAACATTAACATATTCTGTTATATTAATGTAAAATGCTTCTAAAATAACTTCTGCTTGCAGTCATTCAGGTGACAGGTACTTTTTAGGTGCTTGGGGGGTATAGTCATGTACCAAAGAGACAAGATCTCTGCCCTTACAGAGTTTATATTCTAAAGGGGTAAGTAAGGAAACTACGATATAAGAATGTCAGGTGGAAAATCAATGGAGAATAAAGAAGAAGGGAAGGGGAAATACAAGAGAGCTATTTTGAAAATGAAAACGGTTGAGAGATGCTTTACAGAGAAGATGATCTTTAAACAAAGACACGTGAATATGTGGGGGAAGAGAATTGGGGGATTTGGAAGCAAGTACAGTGACTCTAAGACAAGAGCATGCCCTGACTTTTGAGGAAAAGCAAGGAGGCTAGTGTGGGAACTGGAGCATAGTGACCAAGGGGTGTGTAAGTAAGGTCAGAATTAATGGGCTGGGTGATAGAAGGTCACTTCTGAGAATGAGTTTTTTAAAAACCTATTTATATTGAATATCATATTTTGAATAATAATCACATGTTCCCAAAACTATCAATGTATATACAATTAAAATCTTCTATTTTTGTCTCTTATTTGACTGGAAACTACCCCCACAAAACTAATCGTATTTGTTAATTTTTTTCTTTTTTAATGGAGCTACCAGTAAACTAGGCATTAGTTTCTTACATGTTCTTTTACGATCTTTAAAAATGCTTTTATTTCATTGCCTTTTGTTTCTTTTCTTGTATAACTGGGATACTTCTTTTAAAAAAGATTGTTTATTTCATTAAAACCCCTTTGCGTGGCTTTTTCTTTTTGAAATAATTTTTGTATTTGTTTGTATCCTGGCAATATAATTTCTTGACTTTGCCGTTTTCTCAGCATTGCTCATTCTCCCAACATTTTTTAAAAACATACTGAAAAATTAAAAGAAATATACAGCAAACAGGGCAACCCCCTCGGGTCCCCTCCCACTGTGGGAGCTTTTCTGTCCTCTTAATAAGTACTGCTTTAAAAAAAAAAAAGAAAGAAAGAAATATACAGCAAACACCTGTGTACTCACCACCTAGATTCTACAACTTAACATTTTTAGTATTGATTTTGAACTTATTTATGCTGGTACATATTGTCTAGCTAATCAACTTCCTGAAACTTTATTCTCCTACTAAGGGAATTTTTGGACTTTTCCTGCTTTTTTTTGTTGTTGTTTTTTGTTTTGGTTGTAGTCTCACTCCGTTGCCCAGGCTGGAGTGCAGTGGCATGCTCATGGCCACCCCAGCATCAACCTGCTGGGCTCAGGCGATCCTTCCGCCTCAGACTTTCAAGTAGCCAGAACTACAGGTACGTGCTACCATGCCTGGCTAATTTTTAAATTTTGTTGTAGAGACGAGGTCTCGCCAAGTTGCCCGGGCTGGTCTCGAACCTGCAGGCTCAGGCGGTTCACTTGTCTCAGCCTCCCAGAGTGCTGGGATTATATGCTGAGCCACCGAGTCCGGCCTTCCTGCTTTGTTACTACATCAAATAGTCTTGTGCTTGTGTCTGATATTTGGAATTTCTGGTTATAATGTATGCACATGTTTGGCTTTACCAGGTAGTGCCAGATTAGTTTTCAAAGGGGTTACAGCAGTTTATACTATAGAAGAGTTTGTTTTCTTCCTACTATTGCCAACAATTAATATTCTCAAATTCTTGCTTTTTTTTTTCTTTTTGTAATCTAAAGTATATCTAACTGTAGTGTTAGTTTTACATCTGGTGAAGTTGGGCATTTCCTTATGTTTGACTGTTCAAATTTCTTTTGTTAATTGCCCATTTCTCTATAGTGATTTTTAAAATTTTATATTCTTAGGCTAATCTATTGCTGATTATATATGGTACAGGTATCTTCCAGAAATTTTCCTGTTTGGCTTTTTCTTTTTGCGTAAAAGCTTCTTTAATGTGGTTAAATATAGTATTCTGCATGGTTTGCTTTTATCTAATAATAAATTCTTCTATCTTCTAGGGTTATAGATATTCTTTGAGCTTCATTTTAGCTTTTCAAGCTTGGCTATTAACTTAATTGCTCAAGTCAACATCTAGTTAGTTCTTATCTAGGGATAAGCTGCCCCAGCAGTGGAATGAGTACTTTGTGGAATGAGTACCTTGTGACACAGAGGAATGAACTTTTGTTGTTTTAGGTCATTCAGTGGTGCACTCACCACAAAGATGACCCTCCTCCTCCTGAGGACGATGAGAACAAAGAAAAGCGAACAGATGATATCCCCGTTTGGGATCAAGAATTTCTGAAAGTTGATCAAGGAACACTTTTTGAACTTATTCTGGTATGTTTTTAATGTGTAAGATAGCTGTTTCAGAGCCTTTAAACACTTCTTACAAAGTTAAATTTTATATAAATGTATTGATGTTGAATTTTAATACTCTGAACTCAAATATAAGCTGTATATAAATCCAGATATTAGTGACATTAAATGTAAATAGTCTAAACACCGCAGTTAAAAAGCGGAAATTGTGTCAGCTAAAACAAGACCCAGCTGGGTGTGACGGCTCATAACTGTAAGCCCAGCAGTTTGGGAGGCTGAGGAGTGAAGATCGCTTGAAGCCAACAGTTTGAGACCATCTGGGCAACAGAATGAGACCCTGTCTCTACAAAAAATAATTGCAGCCAGGCAAGCTACTCAAGAGGCTGAATGGAAGGGTTTGAGAACGGGTGGTCGAGGCTGCAATGAGCCAAGATTGTGCCACGTCACTCCAGCTTCGGTGGCAGAGCAAGACCTGATCTCTATTTAAAAACAAAAAACTGGCTGGGCGTGGTGGCTCAGCCAGTAATCCCAGCACTTTGGGAGACTGAGGCGAGAGGGTTGCCTGAGTCCGGAGGTTCAAGACCAGCATGGGCAACTTGGTGAGACCTCGTCTCTACAAAAAATCACAAAAACTAGCCAGGCATGGTGACTTGCATCTGTAGTTCCAGTTACTTGGAAGGCTGAGGTAGAAGGACCACCTGAACCCAGCAGGTCAAGGCTGAGATGGCCATGAGCGTGCCACTGCACTCCAGCTTGGGTGACAGAGAGTGAGACTCCAACTCAAAAAAATAAAAAGAATAAGAATAAAAACAAAAAACTTATCTATACTGTCTGTAGGAAACCCACTTTAAACATAAAGCACAGACCAGATGTGATGGTTCATGCCTATAATCCTAGCATTTTGAGAGGCTCAGGTAGGAGGATCGCTTGAGCCAGGAGTTCCAGACCAGTCTGGACAGCATGGCGAAACCTTGTCTCTACAGAAAATGAAAAAATTAGCAAGGCACAGTAGCGTGCACCTGTAATCCCAGCTACTTGAGAAGTTGAGGCAGAAGGCTCTCGTGAGCCCAGGAGGTCAATCTTGCAGTGATCTGTAATCGTGCCATTGCACTCCAGCCTGGACAACAGCGTGAGACTCAAAAAGTATATATATGTTAAAATTGTACACACACATACACACAATAGGTTTAAAGGGTGGGAGAAGATACACTGTGCTAACACTAATGAAAAGAAAGCTGAATTGACTATATTAAAGTAGATTGGGGGTAAAGAATACATCGCACTAGAGTTAAAAGAGGATCATTTCATAATTATAAAGGTATCAGTTCATTAAGATATAACAATAAGTGTTTATCTTATCTACCTAGAAGCTGAATTTCCAGAAAGTGAATTGAAAACAGAGTTCAAAGGGAAAATTCACAATCATAGAGATTTCAACACTTATCTCTCAATAGTTAATAGAACAAGTAGACAAAATCAGTAAGGATATAGAAGACTTGAATAATAACTGCCGACTACCATGTCTTAATGGGCATTTATAGAACTTTACATCTAATGACAGCAGAATATATATTTCTGTAAAGTGTATATTACCAAGATAGACCATGTCCTGAGCCATAAAGCAAGTTTCAAATTTAAAAGGATTCAGGTTATACAAAGTGTTCTCCAGCTGCAATGGAATTAAATTTAAATTAAATTCAATTTAAAAATTTTAAAAATTAAATTTTAAAAATTCCCTTTTACAGCTGTTTGAAAACCAGCACATTTATAGGTAAAATTTTAAAGTTAGAAGGTATTTTGAACTGAATAGAAGTAAAACGTAAAAAATTTGGGTTGCAGCTAAAGCAGTACTTATACAGGTGCTTTGTGTTATCAATTTCCCTCTATTAGAAAAGAGGAAGTTTCAAGTTAGTGATCTAAGCTTCCACTTTAAGAAACGAATGAAAGACAGTCGGGCACAGTGACTCATGCCTGTAATCCCAGCACTTTGGGAGGTGGAACACAGAGGTTTGAGACCAGCCTGGGCTACCTGGCTAGACCTTGTCTGTACAGTAAATGTAGTTCCAACTACTTGCAAGACTGAGGCAGAAGGATCACCTGAGCCCAGCAGGTCAAGGTTGCGATAGCCATAAGTGTGCCACTGCACTCCAGCCTGGGCGACAGTGCGGTTTCTACTTAAAAAACAAAATAAAAAAAACTAGTGAACGATGAAATTAAATCCAAAGTAAGAAGAAGAATTAAGAGCAGAAATCAGTGAACTAGAAAACAATAGAGAAAATTGTTTTGATACCACAACCTGTTTTTTTGAGAAGATGTAACACTGTAACTGCTGATGTTTGAGCTCTTCATGAGTGGATAAATATTTTTGCCAAGACCTGACCTGTGCTTGTTGCACCAGTGAAGGCCATTATTTAACATTTGAGGTATTGTAGTTTGCTTAGGGAAGCAGAAGGATTCAGCATTTGTTACAGAAGTATGACAAGGAAGGTCACATAAAAAAAAAAATCACAGAAGAACTTAATGTCTGATTTATTTCTCACTTCTTAAAATTAACTAGCATTTTAAAACGAATTAAATATGGATTATCAATCATTATGGGTTTAGTTTAAGCATCAAGTATACTTTAATGAAAACAGCTATCACTTTACAGGCTGCAAACTACTTAGACATCAAAGGTTTGCTTGATGTTACTTGCAAGACTGTTGCCAATATGATCAAGGGGAAAACTCCTGAGGAAATTCGCAAGACCTTCAATATCAAAAACGACTTTACTGAAGAAGAGGAAGCCCAGGTAGGTAGCGCACAGTATGTCCTTGAGCACATGCTTTTTAAAAGAGACTAAAACTGTAACATGCGAGGAAAAGAGGTGACTGACTATATCAACTAGCCTTTTTAAAAAAATTCTTAAATTGTATTTTAAAGATGTGGGGTACAATTCAGGATTAGGTATACAAATGGTCATTGTACAGGTAAAGTTTGGGCCTCACTTTACCTGGTTTGAGATTAGGTACCCTTACTTAGTACCCTTGATTCTTGAGGGATAGTAAATACCTTCTGTCTCTTATATACTCTTTCTGTTCTATCTCTGTGAGTCTAAACACTTAGATACTGCTCTTTTATAAGCATAAGAACAATTAGTTTTCAACCATAGAAACTCTTTCATATTAATTTATTAGCAGTTACTAGTTTTGGTACCTGAAACTTTTTGTATAGAACATATATATTTGACTTGAAAAGCAGGACCGAGCCGGGCTCGGTGGCTCAGCCTGTAATCCCACGCCTTTGGGAGGTTGAGGTGAGTGAATTGCCTGAGCCCGCGGGTTCGAGACCCGTCTGGGCAGCGAGACCTCATCTCTACAATAAATCAAAATATCAGCTGGGCGTGGTAGCGCATGCCTGTAATTCCGGCTACTCGGAAGGCTGAGGTGGAAGGATCGCTGGAGCCCAGCAGGCAAGGCTGCAGTGGCCGGGAGCAACCACTGCATCTAGTCTGGACGACCGAATGAGACTCCAACTCAAAAAAAAACAAAGGAAAAAAAAAGAAAAGCAGGACCTATGGAGTATGCTAAGATACTTGAGAATAACTTGGTGAGAGGAAGAAATGAATAGATCACAATGAATTTGCTTACATGCTAAAAACTGAAATTATATGAATGAACAAATTGAATTTGCTCTGTCAACTTTAGTAGATTGCCTATTGCCTTTGCTTTTTTTTTTTTTTGAGTTGGAGTCTCACTCTGTCGCCCAGACTGGAGTGCAGTGGCCGCTCCCGGCCACCGCAGCCTCGACCTGCTGGGCTCCAGCGATCCTTCCGCCTCAGCCTTCCGAGTAGCCGGAATTACAGGCATGGGCTACCATGCCCGGCTGATTTTTTGATTTATTGTGGAGATGAGGTCTTGCTGCCCAGGCGGGTCTCGAACCCGCGGGCTCAGGCAATCCACTCACCTCAGCCTCCCAAAGGTGCGGGATTACAGACTGAGCCACCGAGCCCGGCTTGCTTTTTTGATAATTTCAGCAGGGCAGGATAAAAACTTGAGAGTCTAAGAAAGGGAATCAGGAAATGTACTCTTAACTTGGTCTTTTTCTAGTTTTTAATCTGCCCTCCTAACCTACCTCATTGGCTGTTGTGATGAATCTCAGTAGGTAGTATTTACAAGTTTTAAGAAAAACTAATCAAGTACTTATATCTTTTTGTAGGTACGCAAAGAGAACCAGTGGTGTGAAGAGAAGTGAAATGTTGTGCCTGACACTGTAACACTGTAAGGATTGTTTCAAATACTAGTTGCACTGCTCTGTTTATAATTGTTAATATTAGACAAACAGTAGACAAATGCAGCAACAAATCAGTTGTATTAGCAGAACATTGTCCTCATTGCATGTGTAGTTTGAGTACAAATTCCAAGCCTATGGCTGAGTTTCTTCTAGTACAATCGAAAGTTTCTTTTTTCTTTGCTCTGAATAAAACTGCTGTGGGTTCTCTATAGAAAGTGGCATTTTGGGCTTTCCCTCTTTTTTTGTTAAGCAGTGTCTGCCTAGTTTATTGTCCAGTTAACTTTAGTGATCTTTTAAAAGTTGGCATTGTAAATAAAACAACTTGCAAGAGTTTTCTGAAGTAGAATTAACAAAATATCTTTATTCATGAGTTGGAAACTGGGAAAAGGAGTACTTGAAATAAATGATCTGAGGAATTTTTAGGATGTTTTCCAGCCTCCTGGTATTGATTAGCCTATACGTAGCAGGGCTCCTTTAATTGCATCGAGGGCTTGTTTTTGATTTTTAAACCTCGTAGCTTTGACTATATTGCCTAGAGACTCAGTTACTACCCAGCTTATGGTATTTTAGGAGAGACATAACTGGACTGTTTGTTAGCTTTTCAATTAAAAAAGACACTTAACCCCTGTGGTATGTCATCTTTTTATAATCAGTGTTCCCATGTGGGGAAAACTATTCACACTACTTGCATGTAAAAAATAATTTTACCTTTAACATTAAAATATGTGACAAATCTCACAAAACATTCATTATGAATGCAAGATACTTTCAATAAAAAGTAAGTTATAGTAGGTAGTTAACAGTTTGCTTTTGTGGACTTAAATGTGTCTCTTCACTTAATAGTAAATGGGTCAAATTTTTGTATATTTGTTTAGCTTGAAAAGACTGTTTTAGGCAGTTCACGGCCTAGCTTACTGGAGGCTGCTGACATAACCATAGGATACTGGCGATAGGATACTGATAGACTTCTTGTCTCTTCTAATTGTCATTTATATGGTTAACCAGAGCCAGTGTTTCAGTTCGTAACACAAACTATTCTGCCATTGTTTCCAGCTTCCTTTTTACAGTAAAATGAAGTGTTTTAATGGCCTGAGGAGGCCCACAACTTTTTTTTTTCCTTGTGCTCCCTTTTTTCGCCTTCCTTTTCTAGTTAACATCATCTTTATTCACATGTAATCTTATTGTCTTCACATTTACTATGGGTTGTTCAGACTCAGATTATCACTTGATAGTAGTTTACTTTTACTTTACCTTTCATTTGTCCCAAATTCACCTTATTTAATAAAGTCTTATGTCATGTCACATAATTCCTATTTATTGTCTGTACCAGAGATATAAAACTACAACATGTGTGGGTCAAGTCAGGCTGATTGCCTGTTTTTGCAGTCTTTGAGTTAATAATGGTTTTTAAGTTTTAAAGGGTTATTGTTAAATATCTATACAGCAGAGACTGTATTTAACCAAAAAGCCTAAAATATTTACTATTTGGCATTTTGCAAAAAAAGTTTGCAAACACTTCTGACCATTTCTGGATCCCAGATTCCCTTTACTCTCAGGAAATAACCTTGTTTTCCATTTGTCCTGGTTTTAGTGGGGAAGGAGCAGAGTCCATTCTTAGCTGACGTGTCTCATCTATCAATTCCTGGTATAATGATCAGCTTCTCCAAAAAACTTATCCATCTCAAATATCCTTAGCAGTACCATGACAAACACAAATCTTCACTGAAAGTCCACAATCACTAATATATGTCGTGTTTAACTTGTAAAGGAAGTATCAGCTTCTAGGAAACAGGAACCTATCTGTATAACACTCAGGAGTTGTTAGAATATTGGAGTAAACAACGTCACTACCCATGTTTAAAGGATGCTGGGATCTTTCAGAAGGATTGGACATACATAGTAATTAAAATTTTTGCTCCCTTCTTTCTGTACATTTGAGTCTTTAAGGAAACAAATTCACTTTTACAGTAATCTTAAACTTTTATGTTAATAGGGATCTAACAGCTCATCCCAGAGAAAATGGGCCATTTGTAGCCATTGTGTACCCAAATAAATCATAGGCTTGGTGCTAATAAGTCCTTTTAATTCTGGCTGCAGCATTCTTTTTCTATATTCTTTTTCCTTGTTCCCTGCTATATGCCCACTATTCCTTTAATATATCTACCAAGAGTTTTCCGGGCTCTCACTTGGAGTAAGTTGTCCTTATTATCCATAGCAGCCAAAGGTCAGTCTTCAAAGCTACACTCATTCCTGCCTACCCTTCTTACTTCCTAACTATTCTTCTAAACTAATATTGTGCCATGTAGTTAGGAATGTAAAGTACCTTATGAATTGCAGGTACAGTGAAGAATAAAAACGGGCATTTTTAATGCTTGAGAGGAGAAAACTGATGATAGCCTTGGTTTGAAAAGTGGTTACTGATGATGATTTTCTCTAATTACTGGTATACATAGTAGAGGGAAGGAAACTCTTTTTGATAACCTCAGGGCTTAATTAGAAAATGCTCTTTATTTCACCAGGACAGAGAATGAGAGGAAGAAGAAGTTGGACAGAATTGGGTGATTTCCAGTCTGAAGAACGTTTTTCAGTTTCCTCTGTAAACAGAGATTGCATAGCTGCTGCCTGCTGTGTGATGCTTTTAGTGATAAAGGCCCCTCTCTGACAGTTCTTTGGCTTCTCAGCTTTTCGTTGAATGTCTCTGTCACTTGTGATCTAAAAGTAAACCAAACCCTTCCTGAATGTTAGCCTAGCACATTTTCTCTAACATTGTCACGGGCTAAAGATGTGCTTCCTCAAGCAAATTCTAATAATTCTTACATTGTAGAAGAAAGTTTAACTCATTTGAAGTGTTTGATGCTAGGGTGAGGGAAAAGCAGTTCTTATTCTAGAACTAGCAGCAGAACGTTGGATGTTGATACATCTCCTTAAAAACACAGACTGGAAAGATAAATTAGAGCCAGATTGGTGACAGTATTTTGCTGACGCGTTAGGAAGAGGCTTTTTTTTTTTTTTGAGTTGGAGTCTCATGCTGTTGCCCAGGCTGGAGTGCAGTGACATGCTCACAGCCACAGCAGCCTCGACCTGCTGGGCTCAGGCAATCCTTCTGCCTCAGCCTCCTAAGTAGCTGGATCTACAGGCACGTGCCACCACGCCCAACTAATTTTTTTCATTTATTGTAGAGATGAGTTCTCAGCCAAGTTGCCCAACCTGGTCTTGAACCCCTGGGCTCAGACAGTCCTCTTACCTCCGTCTCCCGAAGTGCTGGGGTTACAGGCGTGAGCCACCGCGTCTGGCAGAAGAGTTTCTCATCAGAATATTTATTCGTCAGACCTACATTAGGGCAGGTTTTGAGTGTTTGAACTAAACTTTTTTTTGCTGTTGAACTAAAGCATTCTTCAGAATGTTGGGGTTTCACAACTAGAGTCCTGATGGCATTTTCTTGTGTACTGTTAAAAATCACTACCTCCAATGGGCAGAGAGAATGAATAAGAAAACAAGATGTGCATATCAAGATGAAATATGGTATAAGTAGTTTAGAACATATCCCTTGGCCCAGGACTGAGCTGTTTGGACCCAAGCAGGATTGGATGAATAGTATTCTTCTTGCTGAACTGTCAGTGGAGTTGAGCATTGGTGATGTCATAAAGCTGGTTTTGATGCTCTTGCCTGACATATTTCCAATGTGGACTTAGTTTTAGTGATAGATGGTTAATTCATGGGCCACACACTTGTTGCCTTGCACTATTGTATACTGTTGGCTTCCTCTGGTCTGTGTACCAGTACTATGAGGCATTTAGTGGGAGGAACAGTTGCTTACAACAGTATTTGCTTCCACATCTGTAGTTCTTGTGACCTTCTGACAGCTCTCAACTTTAAATTTTCAGGGAGTATTTACCTGTTATCTGCCAGCCTCTGGTTTCATACTGAGGATCAGCTTATTTCATAAACATGCTCTTACTTTGAAATACTTTCCACCTATTTAGTGAAAATTCATATTTGTCCTTTCTGTTTTGAATATGCCATTTCAGAACCTTTAACTCTTATGTGCATCAAATGCTTTGCAGATTTTTTCTGTCCCAGGAAGCTTACTGAAAGAGCTGGAAAAACAGAGACGTGATCTTAAACTATTTTTAGAGAGGTTTCCAGAGTGGCTTTTTTCTTTTTGGTAAGTGGAACCCAGAACCTCCTCCCCCCCAACCCTCTGACATTGACTGCATGTACTTCAGAACAAGGGTTCAGATGAAAGGATGAGACAACATGTGAATGAAAAAGGAAGACCTGGTCCAGGGCTCCTGGTAAACATGGAAGAAGTGTCAGCCTGGACTAGTAACTATCTCCCATGTAACTTATAGCTGCTGTCTCGTCTTCAGAAGTTAAACATCCTTTACTGTGTATTGCTAGTGACCAAACTCTCAGAGACTGCTAGGGATAGGATTGTTTCTACCTCCAGGACAGAGTTTGTCCTTTCTAGTTAACTTTGTGCCTAATCCCATGCTATCCTTAACAGCTTGGAAATCCTTCCTGACTTGAGCTAAGGTTTCATTCTAGAGGTCTGGCTATGGGAAATCCCCACCATCTATATTCTTGGTTTTAAAACTCCCTGCCATTTGAGTAAATGAAGATGGGGCTCTTTTTAGATGCCCACTGCCAGTTGTGGACAGGTAGGTCAATAAAGGTCTGTTAGCTGTTTCAGACCACTAGAGAGCTCAGGAGCCTCAGCTCAAAAGATGCCTACAGGGTGATTTCAGATGTGGAATCAGACGGTGATTGCAATAAGTTGGGATTGGGAGAGATGACACATCCAGGGTCTGCTTGGGTAGGCAGCTTCTCTTAAAGCCTTGAATTACTTAAAACTCTGAAGAGACCTGAGGGTCAAGCTTTTTATACAGTTAACTAGTTTAGGGTCTTAAATTGTTCTACTTTGATATATAGGCCTGGCAATTAGAAGTTTAATGTGACCTTGTTACCCTTTGCCCCTTCTTTACTGTTTGTTTTCCTAGAAATGGATGCAGGAACAGATTCCCTTTCTTCTTTTCTGGTACAGGATATAAAGAGCCATTCTGCTTCCTTCTATATGTGGCCTTCCTGGCCAGGCTGATTGTACACCGAGCAGAGCTAGGCAGCAGTGCTTCTGAGCCAACTTGGGGCCCCACAGCCAAAAGGAACTTGAGACCACAGGAGCAATTCAAAAGATAGTTACATGTCAGAAGAGAGTCTAGCCAAGAGGCTTCTTGTAAAAGGAAACACCTTCAAATTGGGAGACATGGGAAGACCCTTCCAGCTTGCCGGGCTGAGCCCTCACCATATTCACTGAGCCTAGGATGAGAGCAGCTGCACAAGGGGAGGGATCAAGATCTATTATTTGAAGCAAGTTGCAAATCTGCCAGTTTTCTGGGAATGTATGAGGGAGGCTAGGGTATCTTGTCCTGATATCTCAGAAAACAGGATTGGCTGGCAGTGAGGGGAGACTGGTGTGATATTTGAAGTTGAACTTGAGGTTGCAATCTCAAGTCACCCTCTGGCGTTGTAGGAATGTGTTGGTGCATTTTGGGAGGATTTGAATTTCCTTTTTGAAGTCAAGGTTGTTTTTTTTGTTTTTTTTTTAAAGACTGCTCTGATTTAAACAAAGTTGCCAACCCCCCCCCCACATACACAAAGGGTGCATTGTTCGTGTACCCAGTGTACTCTAAATCAGACACCAAATCAGATGCAGCAACCCAGTCTTGCATAAGCCCTGGGTAGAATTTAGTTTTTTAAAACAACTAGGCCATTAGCCAGAGCAGAATTCTTTAAAGTGGGACAGATGTCCAGAGAATGGCTAGCCTTCTCTAGCACCCTCACAGAAAGAAGCAAGTCTGGGATTACAGCCTTCAGTGGCCTAGTTTAAATAGTCACCATTCTGGAAGGTGACTGTTGATATTTTAAAAAATAAAGTGCAAAAAATATTAATCAGTGACGATTATAAATGATAATGCATGATGGTGACCCGATGGCTATCCTTGTGGTATACTTCTTGCCCAGTATTTATCACTGAATTGTTGGTTGACCTATTAAGATGACTTTATGATACCTTGCACATTCATGATCGGTGTTGGGAAGTTAGCAGTATACTTTAACATGATGGAAACTGCCATGTAAAAAGTAGGTTATAGATTTATCACACTATAGCATTCTTGTGTGAAAACATGAAAAATATTTAATGTCCTTTTTTTTTGGAGTCAGTCTCTCTCTGTCGCCCAGCCTTTAGTGCAGTGGCACACTCACGACTGACCAGCCTTGACTTCCTGGGCTCAGGCCATCCTTCTGCCTCAGCCTCCTGAGTACTTGGGAGACTACAGGCTTTCCACCACACCCAGCTAATACTGCATTCGTCTTAACAGTCTTTGGGAGGAAAGAGTGCTATTAAAATATCCTTCTTGAGGATTGTATGGTGATACCAGGTTATAAAAGGTTCCTGTTCTTGTTTTCCTTGAAATAGGTATGCACTTGTGGAATGTTTTCTCTCTTCCCTCAGAGGAAAATGGAGCTTAGTGGTCATGTGTACCATTTCAAGTTGGATTACTTTTTCAGTACTACATATGGCAGGTTCTAACTCAATAAATCACAAAAAAAACTCATGAAAAAAAATCACGTGAGCACTGGTGAACAGGTTGGCCTGGATCAGTCTCTGGGGTCAGAGGATTGGGAGTTAAGAGCAAGGCTTGGAATAGGAGTGTAGGGGAGATGATGAAATCCCTGGCTTCTGCAGGTTGGAAATTTGGAAACATGCGTACCATAGTGGAGAGTAAACCCTAAGATTTGTGACTGCAGAGAAGAAAAGGAAAGAGTTTCATGCTGTTATTCAAACAGCTTATTCCTCAGGGTCAGACTTTGAAATACAAACCCAGTAAAAAGTATCTTTATTCTCATGTTTAAAAAAGTTTGTCTAAGATGATGCATTAACAATACAAAAATATTTTGAACACTACAGTTCTTTTTTTCTCAAGAATTTTTGCAACATTATACTAGAATATGTGTTCTTTGGATTCATGAGAAATCAGTGACTAAAGTAGAAACTAAAGGCTTTTCTTGAGAGGGGTGTTTGAGTACACAGAGCCCTTTTTCTTTGGATTCAGGTATCTATAGTGAGGAGGAGGCAAAAAACAACACAGTTAAATTAAAAAAGACTTGTTTTTCAAGGCTCAGGGTTGAAGCTTGGCTCAAAAATGGGTTAAAGTAGGCTGTTTTAAAAACCTGTTGTCCACTACTAGAGCTTTTCTGGGCTCCTTGCTTTAGTTGTAATGACCCTTTCTGCAGCCCTGTAGGGAAATTGAGGCTGGTCTAGGCTGAATGCAGGAAGACAGGCTCTGCTGTTGTGTGAGGTGTTGGGGTTTGCCCTCTCTCACAGCTACCCAGGAGTTGGCTGGACTGCCATGGATAATCTGGAAAGAACCGTGAAAAAGGCTCTCTGAATGGGGAGGGATGCACACTAGATTTAGGCCATGACTGCTTTGGATTATTGACTGCAGCTACTGGTGACAAGCCTGGAGGCTTTGACATTGGAGCTGCTTAGATTGGTACATTTCTGAGGAAACATTTCCAAGTTATTTGAACTAGAGCCAGATACCCACCCACCACCTACACTTGCCTGAGGGGAGGGTATTGTCCAGTTATTCCTGTTGTCTAGGTTGATAGGCCTAAACTTAACCTATTCCATTCCTTCCCCTCCACTTTTGAGTTGGAGTCACTTGTCACCCAGGCTGGAGTGCAGTGGCACACTCATGGCTACCACAGCCTCGACCTGCTGGGCTTGGGCGATCCCCTCTGCCTCAGCCTTCCAAGTAGCTGGAACTACAGACGCACGCCACCACGCCCGGCTAGTTTTTTGTGATTTATGGTAGAGACGAGGTCTCACCAAGTTGCCCAAGCTGGTCTCGAACCCTGGGCTCAGGCAATCCTCTTGCCTTGGCCTCCCGAAGTGCTGGAATTACAAGCTAAGCCACCGCACCCAGCTGCCCTCCACTTCTTGCAAGCTCTCCTGAGAAATGGGAAGAGGCTTCCTCCGGTCCAGCCCATGAGTAGCAGCCAGTTTTCTGTAAACAGAGCTTCTCCATTCCCTTAAAAGAGAAGCATTGTCATCTTGAGCTTTGTGGTCGTGAACATGCTCACCTGTTTGATAAACCAGCTCATTCTTGAAGAGTGGTAGGGGGCAGATGTGGCAGGTGGGGGACATGGGAGACAGAAGGTAACTGGGCTCAGTCCAGCCTATCTGTGATGTATAACAGAAAAGCAAGGGGTACAGAGGCTTCAGGCTAGCAGGATACATGGTACAAAGATTAGATCCGGGCTGCCATAGACACAAGGGATGCTCTTAATTAGATGATGCATCAACATAGATCTGATTCCCACCACTTGGAGCAGTTTGAAATGATGGCCGCAGGTTCAAGTGTAAGTTGTGCAGCCTCTGAAGTCTTCAGGGAGTGGAATCTAAGATGGAGTTAACAGGATCCCTGGCTGATTTCCATGCGATTGGGGCCTGTTGCTTCCTCTTGGGATAGGCCCCTGGAGGAGACCACAGGTGTCCTGTGCCTGCTAGGCCACTTGTCTCTGAGATTCCTGTTGCTGTACCTGTGTTCTTGGCAGGGTGCTGTGGGAGGCCTGTAGGGGCCTGGAGGCTGGTAGGCTGAGAGCAGTGGAGAGACCTGGGGATGTAGGTGCCGGCTCCACATGGCTAGCAAGCAGTTCTGTGGGGAAGCGGGGCAGCAGAAGGTATGAGGGTGAGTCCTGGGGAGCTGGGGACCCAGGGCAGCCTAGAGCACTGTCATCGGAAGGAACGGGACTGGGGCAGCGGCCTTCTCCGGGTAAGTACCGAATGCATTTCTTTTTCCTCCTAGGAATAGTGAAGAGAGTTATCTGTAAATAGAGGGTGAATTCACAGTCATACACCACAACCAAAAAATGCTGTCTTTGCACAGGCCGGGCAGACCCTGCGTCCCCTCTCCCCATGAGTTGGGTAACTTCACTGTGACTCTCCTTGGCCTGGCCCAGACCTAGGAAAGGTACAGTTCCCAGAACAGCCACAAGGAGGCATAGGGACCTCTTGTAACTATCCTTGTGGGCCTGTTTTCCCCTGGAGCTATCTCATAGTCTCTGCCTTGGAGCTTCTTCAAGTGTGTGTGGGACTCAGATCTGCATTAAGAGGGCTGCAGTGCTTGTGGCTTCTTGGCCGAGCAATCCCAGCCCTCAGAGTTGGGCCATGGGAAGAAGAAATAAATGGTGACTCTTTTTGTCCATTATCATTCTAGAGTTCTCTGGGTATAGAACAGATAGAGTAGGACTGCCTCTGAGGACAGGATTGTTTCCCATCATGTACACATACGTGGGTACACAGACACACACCCCAAATTCCTCTCTGCCCTGAAACAGGGAGCATGGTGGGCACACTGAGGGGCTGAACCAATATTCCTTAGAGCCAGTGGCTTTCCTGCCTGGAGTATCCTCAGTCTTGGCCCTGCCAGGCCTAAGTGAACCTAAATGAGGCCACTTTAACCACTTAGTGGGTAAACCTTTTTACACCCACAATTATTTTACTTGTGTTGTGAAACACACAAGCTCAGTGCTACAGGGTTCTTTTCAACAGACAGCCTAGGGGAACCCCTGCTCCTCTCCCCCAACCTCTCCAGCCTCTGGACTCAGCAGGTACATAATATCAAGTCACAAGGCTGCCTGGCAACCAGGTAATTCAGGTGTTTCTGTACTGTCACTTTTTTTTTTTTTCAAATTAAGGGCTCAAGCCAGGGTCCCAACTTGAGGAAGAAGTGAAGGAGCTGGTGGGCCATGATAACTTTTGAGGCCGCAGGGGCTCAGGTTACCTAACTGTATACACGTATGAGAGATTTGTTTGCTGAGGACCTGGTAGACCTGGCTGGCACCAGAGCTAACTTCTTGAGTCTGCTTCCCTTCTGGAACATTCTCGGTTTTTCCCTCCACTCCTTCCTTAAACCCAAGTGATCTCCACACATTGTGTTCAGTATTTACTCTCTTTCTTAGGAGACATAGGTTCTCCATTCTGCTGGGTATGCTAGGGGGCTGAGGGGCCAAAGGAGGGGAGTGCAGGCCCAGCAGAACATGTGCAGAGTCAGGGAAGCAGCTTAAAGCAAAGGGAGAATAATGGTGGGGACAAACCCACCTGCACGGACCACACCAATCCGTCTGCTGGTTGAGGCCAAAGCGAGCACGGCATTTCTTAGGCGAGCCAGGGTCTGCTCACAGCCATGCCAGAGGAGCAGAGCAGGGCAGAGGGCGAGCAGGCAGGCAGCAAGGCAGAGCAGGGCCCAGAAAGAAGAGGTAACATCAGTGTTAGCCAGTTACAGACACCCCACAGCCCCCACAGGCAGAGTGGGCCTCTCCATGGTACAGCCAGCCCAAGTGGGAGCCCAAGAGCCCAGAGCAAGGTATCAGGAAAGGTGGGCATCCAGCTAGGCAGTAGAGGCAGTGGGAAGAATGGAGGTTGGGGGATTTCTCTCAGGCTGGCTCCTCTCTCTGGCTTGTGGGGCCCTTGCCGCAGGGGGGCTGCAGAAGGGCCCAAGGAAGCCTATGGGGATCCAGCCTCTCATGCCTTAGGGCTACCCACCGGCTCCCCAACTCCTTTTTACCCCCAGTTTTCCTTCATTCTTGACCCGTATTCCCTCAAGGGATAAGGCCATGGCTATAGCTTATGCCTGTTCTACACACTTCCAGATGGAAAGAAGGGCCCAATCTTTGCCTCAGAGAAAGGGCTCAGGACTCTGCCCTGCCCCGTTCTAGTCCCAGCCTTCAATTTCTCTGTGTTGCGGCAGCACAGGAGGGAAAGCCATGGATGTGGAGTCTGGACAGGAATGTACCCATGGGCAGAGCGCCTGCAGCAGGGTATGGGATCCTCTACACAGAGTACTTTGCACTGACATGAAAAACATTAGGATTGAGGGTGATAGAGAAACTGCCAGGCACAAGCCTCCCTGACAGCCTACTCCCGATCTCAGTAGATCTAGCAAGGATGCACTGTTAGGTTAAGCAGTGAACCATATGGTCACTTCCTCACTAGCCTCTCTGGTAGAGGCCAGTCGTAAGCAGGGTTAGCAAAGGTGGTGGGGGCAGGGCAGGGGAACAAACATACCGCCTGCTATGTGAATTGGCTTCAGCTGCTCTTCCCTAGGGCTTGGTATAGCTATTTCTTGTGTAGGGATTTGACTTGGAGGTACAGGCCTTGTTTTCAGAGGGCACAGGGCCTTGAAGCCTCCTGGCTGAGTACTCTGCCCCTCCCTCGGGGCCAGAGCAGGACTGCTCTTGAAATGGGAGCATGGAGAGGAGCCTCCAGTAGTGCTGAGGGAAGGTCTCACCTGTGGTGGATTCTTGGTGCTTTTCTCTTGACCGTCTCTTCTTCTTCCCCTGCAGAGAACAAAAGGAAGGATGTTCAGATCTGGGAAGCAGTTGCTGGGATATCTGCAGTCTGCTGCCTGGCGTGGCTGCCCCTGGGATTCTGAGCATACCAGCCCTTCCCTCCTACCTTGGGGCCTTGGTGTTTCTTAATTGCAGTTCTTGCTAGGCTGCTGTGGGGTGCATTTAAGGGGGGCACCTCCCTCTCCCAATGTGGTCTCCAGTTTGAACAGAGGGAGGTGACTTCCAGGCCCTTTGCTCCCCTTCTGTCCATGTGGCCCAGTCAAATACTGGGCAGTATTCCATATGTGAGTGCATCATGGAGTAGAAAATAGGATGTGGGCTTGCCTTTGGGGACAAGTTCTCCGGGCTTGGCCTCTTCTGAGCTAGCCATGGGAGGCCTTGGACCCTCCATGCCCTTCCTCATCTGTGCTTTCCCTGCTGCGATTGCGACCTGAGGCACGGTGTCTTGAAGGTTCCCCTACCCACCCCTGCTGTGTTCCACTGGCCACTCACATAGTTGTCCCGCGCCGACCAGCCTGGGTATAGCTGCATGTGCAGCTGCCTCTCCTTACGAGCCAGCTCATAATACTTGGCCTGCTCTTCTCGTGACAGCGCGTGCCACTGCAACAGGGAAGGGGGGGCGGAGGAGATGCATCAGGAAGTCAGCAGGCTACAGGGTGAAGACGGCCAGGGATCCCCTGCCAGCCCCACCTGCCCATGGCCTCACCCTGCGGCCCAGGATCTGGTTGATGGCAGCACTCTCCTTAAGTGTGCACTCTGCAATGACCTTGGCTCTCATCTCCTTCATGTACAGCATGAAGGCGTTGAGGGGCTTCTTGATGGTTGGCTTCTTAGCCTCCTTCTCTGCCTTGGACTCTGCCTGTGTCTTCCTGAGGGGCACATATCCAGATCACTCAGGAGCTCCTCGCAGTGCCCACCTAATGGCGCCTCCCTCCTCTGTTGTGGGTCCAGTGTGTGCATAAGTGTATAGTAGCAGGGTTTTGCAAATGGAATCTTCTTTAGCTGCCCCAAAATGGGTGAGCAGAGGGCTAAGTAACTCTTACGGGAATACAGCCAGGTATGAAAGGCAGGCATGGTTAAGCACTTCTCAGCCCATCCCCTTGTTCTCCTTGTTCACCCACCGCCCTGTCCTGCTTCCAAGGACCAAAAAACAGTGGTCAGTAGCCAGAGCCACATGATGGCTCATCCAGGGGCCTCTTGGCAGTCCCGGGAACTGCCAGACAGCAGGTCTCAGCTGGTGGGAGGCCTGTATCCTGGCTGACAACAGATCTGCCCACCTGCCCATCCCACACTTTCTTGCCCCCCTTTCTTTCACCATGTGTCTTTTCACTCACAGGCTGTGGTCATAGGGCTGCAGCTCCTGCTTCCCTGAGGGGGGCACAATGGCTGGGTGGGGGATGGCTGCAGGGTGACCAGGTACACCGGAGCCTAGCATCAAGGATGGGTGGGTGAACCTGGAGTCAGGAGGAGAGTTAACACTGAGCCAGGAATTATGGGCCGGCCTTTGGACACACATAATACACAAGGCCCCTGCGTACACGAGGACACAAGTGGACAGATAACCCACCTCCCAGTGGCCTGGACATGAGTACACAGAAAAAGTTATAACAAGTGTCTGCTCCCAACACATTACACAGGCACATTGCAAAACTCTACATATATGCCATTCAGGTGGTCACTAAGTCTCAAGTAACTTTTGAATCCATCCCCTCCCGTGTCCTGCCTCTACCAGCCCAGACTCAGGAGCCTATGGCTACCCTGTGGGTCTCCCCCGCTCCCCCACTTGACCCCTCCAGTCCTCTCTCCACACAATAGCCACCTTTTAAAATCACCTGAATGCTCCTAGTCTGCTCCTGCTTTAATTCCCCACTGCCCACAGAATAAAGCCCAGTCGGCCCCCCCACCCCTGCCTCACAGCCCTGCATGAGGGTTGCTGCTGACATTTCTAGCCCTGTCTATTCCCCCTGCTTCCCATCACTCCCCACAGTCTCTTCATTTCCCTCTCAAAAGATATTACCCTTACCCTTTCCATGAAGCTATTCCTGACCCATCAGACTTGGTTGGGTCCCCTTGGGATCTGCCCATCACTCAGCTGGACCATTCAGCTGCTGGGGCTGGGTCTACATCTCCTATCCTGGGCTGTGGGCTTCAGCGGGACTGGAAATATCGCCTGAATCCCTGCCATCACATACCTGGCACTAGGGCTGCCACTGAGGGTGGGAGCTAAGTGGAGGGACATGTGCACACACACCTCCCACTTCACTTTGCTGCTGTTCTGTGGAGACCACTCTGCCCCTTACTGCTTGCACAGGTGTGTGATTCCTAAGCAGGAGGCCCCTCAGGATCAGGTCGGGGACACTTATGTCAAAGGTGCTGCCTCAGCTTGGGTAGAGCTCAGGAGATGCCCAGGAGAGTCCTCCTGAGCCACCCTTCTCCTAGCAGGGAGCAGAACAAGGTGAGCATGCACACGGCTGCACATGGTGAGCCATGTGTGCCTGCGCTATCCTGGCCTCTGGTGCTCAGCTGCACCCTATGGCCTTGGGCTCTTGCATCCCACTAGCTTTGTTGTCAGGCACAGGGCAGCAAGGGGCTGCAGAATGACAGACGGACAGATGACAAACGACTAACAAAGGGCAAGCACTGGCCTGGGCTTGGCCTTGTGTGGGCACTGAAGCCTGGGCAACAGAAAGCAGGAGCCTGGCTGCATGGTAGGGGACTCACCTGGGGTAGGGGGCGCCAGGGGCTGCAGTGGGGGCAGGGAAGTGCTGTCTATATCCGCAGGAAGGGGACAGGGGGTAGAGAGGAGGGCTGGGCCTGTGGTTGGGAGAGACAGCTGTTAGCAGTCTGGCTGCCAGCCAGACATGGGAAAGGATCTCCCCATCTTGCGTGGCCTGACCCATAGTGTGAGACAAATGGGCTACTGCTGGGACCACTCCAGCGTGTTTCAAGCATCTGCCACCAGGGGGCAACCTGTGCTGCTCCTGTTTCTCTCTAAAGGCTTGTATTGACGCTTAAGGGGTGGAAATGGCAGCCTCTTCCAGGGACCCAGCTCAGCAGGGCCTTGGGCTCCTCCAGCCTGCCTCCTGAGCTTCCATAATAATACAGGGTTGATAGTTGTTCTGGGGCCTCTGCATCCACTGTTGACACTCCAGATTGTTCTTCTACCTTACTTTGCCTGTTTCAACTGCTAATTCTTCAGGTCTTGCTTGGCTAAGTGACCCTTTCTCCAAAAGCCCTGAGCTCCCAAGCTGGATGAGGCACCCCTCTGGGCTCCCCAATCAAAGCACTGCTAACAGTGCCCTGAAACTGGCTTCTTGCCTGGCTTGCCCACTAGGTGGACTGACTTCTGAGAGAGGAGGAACCTAAGTCAGTTTAAGCAGTGCTTCCCTGGTGCCCAGAACCCTGCCTGGCACACAGCAGGGCTCAGTGTAGGGATGGCTAAAATACATCCACTTTTCACAGCTAAGTGCTACTTGGTGGCAGCCAAGAGCCCAGGTCTGCCTGAAGTCCCCTCTTTAGTCGTAGTGGGTAAACATCTGCTCTAGACTCAAGTCTCTAGGTCTTCAGAACTTCTGACCTAGAGGATGTTTTTGAGAGGCTGGTCCAGAGATTTGCAGCCACAGACCCCTGGTCTACCCCTATAGGCTGGGCTCTGAGACTCTTGCCCCACTCTGACCCTGGGGTACTCATGGAGCAGTCCTGATTTGTATTCAGAATGGAGCTTTGTCCAGGAAGAATCTGGAAATGGAGGAGTGCATGCACTTGCCCAGGTCACACTGTGGTTGATAAGTAAAGGGCCAAGTAGTTGCAGAGGCCCAGCTCCAGCTAAGGACAGGCTCTTCTGCTCACAGGCAGGCCAGCTGACTTGGGGGACCAGGCTGCCTTTTTCTGGCCTAGCCTTAGCAGACTTTCCAAGCAGGCTGGTCAGGGGTTTGGGTTCAAGCAGGCAGCATAGGGGCAACAAGGGACCTATCAAGCACCTCAGTCAAGGAAGGAACCAACCAGCAGTAAGCACCAAGACCAGTGGGAAGTGTCCCTCTGCCCACTAGGCAGCTGAGAAGCAGCAGAGTCTCTGGTAGCCATTCATGCAGTCACTCCCTGCTCAGACCTACCTTTTCTTCCTCACATACTCATGGCTCTGGGAGTCCCAGAGTAGCCCAGAGTTCTCCCATCCAAGGAGACCAGGTGATCAAGTCTCTTGGACACTGAGGACAAGTTCAGGTGTGACAAGGCTGGGACCAGGAGCCAGCTCTCCTACCTCCCCATAGGAAGGTATGTCAAGCTAGGGAATTCCCAGAGGCCGGGGGCCACAGAGATCTCTAGCTCAGAGCAGGCTGAGACGGAGCTGCTGGCCAGCCCCTGGTATCTGTGCAGAGCTGGTGGCAGGGCACTCAGCGAAGGACAGAGGAGAAAATGGAAGGGCAGAGTTGGACCTGACCAGTGCATGATACCCCTTTCCCGCTGGGCCTGCACTCACCAGCTCACAGTGTGGGGGAGCTGTCCCATGCTGCCTGAGGTCAGAGAGTAGAAGCCAGAGAGGTCAGAGGTCTGCAGGGGCCTGTGAACTACAGTGGAGAAAAGCTGAGTAAGTGGGCTGTCCTGTCCCAGCGGGCCACTTCGGTGGTAACTGCAGCCTTGAGCCTCCTACAGGCCCTAAGATCCCATCCCCATTTCTAGAGGACCAGACATAAATTGGCTTGTTCGGGACTATCCCGGTGTGGTAATGGTGCCCCTTTGACAGGCAAGGGAACCAAGGACAGGGGGTTTGGGGTAACTTGCCTAAGGATACCGTCTGGCCAGGAGGCAGAGTTGAAGTCACTTGGGAGTGGGGGCCAACCCTCCCCACTTCCTGGTCCACTGCTGGTCTGCAATTGGGGCCTCTCTGCTGGGGGCTGCAGCCTGGCTTTCTGGGCAGGAGGCAGGCCCCCTGTCTTGGAGAGCCTGGCCCGGGGAGCCAGGGCTCCACCTGCCCCCCAGGGTTGAGTCAGCAGGTCTCCCACAGCTGACAATGGTGGATTTCAGAATGACTCTGCCTGAGGCTGAGGTGAGTCAGCCGTCACAACCACCACTTTCCATTTTCTCACTGCAGGAGGGAGAGGCTGCAGTTTTAGTTATCAGCAATGTACAGCCGCCTGCTCCCATGCTGGCAGTGGGGGCCACCCACTCCTACCTCAATCTGACCCGGCACCACCTCCCCTAGTCCTCTGATGCCCTCACAGACACACCCCAACAGTCCAAAATTCCTGACATTTTTTGGGGGGCCCCAAATTTGAATAGCCCCAGGTTCTCCAGTTATGAAATGGGCTCAGCTACCTGGTCTCAGAAGCCAGGGACGTGGCTCTTAGGCTCAGGTCTCATTGGGCCCCTCCCTATCCCAGCCTTGTACCTTGCTTCTGGCTGATGTCCACAGGTGCAGGTGTAGAGTGTGAGCTGCTGAGATGTTCGTAGAGAGGAGAGAGCTGGGGGACACCGTGGGGGGGCTGACTGGCCTTGTTGTGCTGAAAAATGAGGAGAGTGGGTGAATGTGGGGTGTCCCGAGGGAGGAAAGTGCGGGGTTGAGGTGTACTATAGGCAGGGTCTCCATGAGCTGTGTGTGGAAACCTCAGCTGTCAGAGAGAAGTGGTGCTGGTCAAAACTACAGGCCTCAGGGAAGGAGGCAGCACTCAAGCCACCTCATGTCCAGTTGGCTTGCCCTCCTGCCTACTAGCCTCCAAGATGGCCCAAGCAGTCCCACCTCCTAGAGAGTCTCTTGGTCCTTCTGGCCACTCAGTCCCTGAAGGTGTGTTCCCCTGTCCAGGAAACCCTGCCTCCCGATCCCAGAGATCTCCCATTTTCTCGGAAGTCTGACAGCTTGTCAGGGAAGGTTTCTCACAGCCTCCAGCCCTCACAGCAGGGCATGATTTGAGAATCTGGCCTACCCCCAAACAGCTTGAAGCTCTTGCTCCTCCTCCTCCAGCCCCCAGGCTGGGGGTCCTGAGTCTAACCCCCCTTCCATGGAAGGGCCCCCTCAGTCCCCTAACTCATGGGAGGTAGCGCCAAGTGGGGCCTGGCTCCCACAGGACCCATCTGCCCAGCCCCCATACTTCCGGTTTCTTCAGCACCACAGGACTCTTACTTTTCACACTAGTCGCATGGCTGTCAAGAGATGACTCAGGCAGCAGTGTGGGAAGGGGGCTCCCCAGGAAACCTAGCCAAAGGGAGACTGGCCACAGGGAGTTGCTGCCTGGGCCAAGGCCCAGCTCTGCTCAGCACACATCTGCATAGGCCAGGGCCCTGGAGACACTGTCTACAACCAAAGCTCAGCTTTCCACTGAAGTCTGTCTGTGGGGATGCTGATGGCTGAGAGCACAGATGAGTGGTCTCTGCCCCATGGCACAGAGGAGGCAGGACATCTTTGGGGCAAGACAGTAATGAGAGGTTGTGGGCTCCCCCCCACTCTGTGGGCGAAATGCCCCACTGGGTGAGTGCAGCCAGACTCCTCAAGCCCTTCAGGATTCTCTCCTGTAGTGAATGCGGTTTGTGGCCCCTTCCCTTCCAGGTGGGGAAGGGTAGGGGAGCTCATGGTGAGGAGGCCTGGCACAGGTCCCTTGGCACTTGGCCACGGGGGCCCAGGGAGAGGCGAGAGGGAAGCCTGGATACGAGCCCCTTGGTACAAAGGCATGAGGCTCCCAGCTGGGCAAAGGCTCTCACCCCTCCCAGCAACAGCCCTGGCCTGCCATCTTTCCCCCACATTCCTGCCTCCAGGCTGCTAGCTGCCTGCTTTCCCTCGGGTCATGGGGGAAGGTGCTGCCACCTGTCAGGCCTCTGTTCCTCTGTCCGCCCACTAGGAGGAGCCTCATGAAATAGGGCTATTCAGGCTTCCTTCTGTGTCAGGCAGATGGGTGGATGTCCCCAGAGGTGGCCAACAGGGGAGAGAGGACAAGGCTAGGGCAGCTGTGGGGTGTTGTGGACACATATGAAATCCCTCAGGTGCCGAGTACTTGCCACGTGCTAGGCACTATGCCAAGCACTTTGCAAGCCCAGTCTCATTTCCATCAGGGTACAAACAGCCTGCCACATCTCACATCTCCCATCTGTACACCTCTCCTTTGCTGCCACCTGTCTCACTCCCCTCACAGAAACCTCTGCAGACCCATCCCCACGAACTGCCTCTGGTTCTCGCCCTCATTCTCCTTTCAACGCAGCCAGCTCTTACCTACCCCTCCACTGGATGCCTCTTGTCAAAGTCCCTAGTGACTTCCACAATCCCAAACTCAGTGGTCACTTCTTAGTTTTCACCTTACCTGACCTCTCCACAGCATCAGACACAATTAATGGCTCCCTACCCCTTGAAACAGTTTCTTCACTTGGCTTCCAGAATGCCACACTGCCCTATTTTCCTCCAGCCCCATGGGCCACTCCTTAGCCTTTTTTTTTCTGACTTCATCCTCTTCCTCATCCCAGCTTCTGGCTTTAAACACTCATCTGGTGACTCTGCATTGCTATCTCCAGCCCACCTTCTGAGAACTCCACTCTCGGATGCTTATTCAGCTCTACTGGGAGGTCTGACATGCCCCCAAACTCAACATATCCAGATCAGAGCTTCTGACTTCCTGCCACAAATACTCCTGTTTTCCTCAGTTGATGGCAACCCCATCCTTCCAGTTGCTTAGACCAAAAACTTTGTAGTCACCACTGAGGCTTCTTTCACACTCCACATGCAACCTGTCAGCAAATCCTAATGTTCTGCCTTCAGAATATATCTAGAATCCCACCACTTCTTCCTCCCTCCTTGTCCCCTACCCAGCCCAAGGCACTGTCACCTCTCACCTGGATGCCTGCTTTCTTCCTGGCCCTCACAGGTCCTCCATCCAGCAGCCACAGGTCGTGTCCTTCTGCCGGAAGCCTCCATGGCTTCCCACTGTGTCTCCCGACTGGCCCTCAGAGCTCTGTGTGATCTGGTCCGCTCCCTCTCCACCCCAGCACCCTCTCCTCTCCTGCTCGCTGACGGTGCCCAGGACCACCTGTGGGTGCTCCAGCCTCTAGCACCCTTCTCCATTTACTCCAGGAGCAGCTCCCAAGTGTGTCATGATGTGAAGTAGGTTGGAAGCCCAGCTCCAGGCTTGTTGACCTTTCCACTGATGTCTCACTGGAGGATCCTGGGCCAGTCTCATCCCTTCACTGGGCCTGCAGTTTCTCCCCTTGTAAAATGGGGATGAGAATACCAGTTCTACCCACCTCATTGGTCACAGATGCAAAAGTCTGCTTTGTCCTGGAGTTTATGGGAATAGAAGCCAAGGTCCTATTAAAGTAGGAAATTTCCTGAAAACCCCTGAGGTCTTTATATCCTGATAGATTCCTAGGACAGCACCAACCAACCAGCTTCAGCCCTGACCCGGCTTCGTGGCAGTGGAGGGCAGGGAGACAGAGCTTCAGGGCCCACTCCTTCAGGAACACTGGACCCTGGCAGAAAGCATCTCACCATTCACCGCCTAAGCCCTGGCCCAGCAGGGGAAGGAACGCTTCAGAACTAGGGAGCTTTTGCATCTAAGCTCCTGCTTCAGAGGTGGCCCTGCCTTCCAGCCTTAGCACCGGCTCTTTGACCCTTGGGACGAAAGGTGTGCCTGGCTAATGGAGTAGGCAGCTCTGGCCCTGGGAGGCCTCAGGAGCAGAGCCAGGGTCCAAGGTGCTAGCTCTAGGAAGACAGTCCTGGAGTCTCTTTGCTGCCCAGAGTTGGGGAATCTGCCCCAGGACAGCAAGCAGGTGGCTCCCCAGCAGGTTGCTCAGTAAACTGCCCTTGCTCGGGTGGAGGGCAGCTCTGGACAAGAAGCTGTAGAGAGCCCCCCTGCCGGAGGAGACCAGAGCTGACCCTCCTAGGCCAAGCTGGGCTGGCTCTGCTGTAGCTTTGCTACCTGAGTCTCAGGTTGCAACACAGCTCAAGCCGGGCCTAGAAAGTCTGAGAGCCTCCAGCCCAGCCTGCCTGGTACGTATGCATGTGACAGGGGTGGCGTTGGGGGGGCTGCCTGGTGGACTGTGGGCCTTCCCTGGGAACTGGGGAAAAGACTCATTAAACAGGAATCTGCAGCCAAACCACAGGAGAAGTGCTGGGTGGGCAGGGGCGGAGTGGAGAACCACTGGCAGCTGGAGGCCCTGGGGTGGTCAGGGCTCCAGGGCAGGGCACTGAGGGCCTGACCAGGCCGTCCCACATTCATGCGGGCTGCCTCTTAGCCTCACTCCCCACCCCACCCTTCTCCATGCCTGGTGGTGGCAGCCGGGGGAACCGGCTGGCACAGGGCCCAGCGCCCCATGCCCGCCTCGGCCAGTGGAACGTCCCGCTCCAGGGCCTCAGCACAAGGCTGTCCCAGGGCCAGGCTGCCCAGACCACGGGGTGGGGTCGCCTGGGGCCTGGCGAGTGTACGGGAAGCCCAGTGACTGGAGTCCCTTCCCCTCCTCCCCCTGTGGTGACTGTGCCCAGCTCACGAGGGAGGAAGGCCCCACTAGGCCCTGAGTATCTCCAGGGCACAACCGCACCTCGCTCACCTCTAAGGGCAGAGTACCAAACACATAGCTGGGCACCCGGTAGGTGCTCAAGACATGGTGGCATATACAAATGCATGAATGGCTCAACAGCAGTCCACACTCCTTAGTCAGGACACCCCAAACTCCTGTTCTTTGCCCGAGTCCCCTCTGTCTCCCCCACCAGCCTGTGGTACTCCAGGAAGGGTCCAGGACTCACTCGCCCTAGGGCTACCCAAGAGTCATCCCTTCCATTCGGAAGCGTTTGTCCAGCCCCTCGCTGGCTGTCTGGTGACAGGGTTGCTCCTAGCAGAGGCGGTCCATCCTGCTGCTGTTCTGCTTACTGCTCATGCTGACACGAAGCTACCGTCCCACAGGTGCGCCTCATCCTTCAGGGCTGTTTTTCTTAGCCCATGCCTAGAAATTTCTCTCTGGTGCCCTGTGTGCCTTCCTCCTGTTCAGCAGGCTGGAGCCAGGATTGGGCCGGGCAGGAGGAGGTGGAAATGGGGGACTCCTGATGTAGGTCTCCTCTGCTCTGAAGTCAAGCTAGAGCCTGGCGGGGCTGCCCCCCTGCCTCACCGGGCCCCCCACTTCCTGCAGGCTCAGGTGAAAAATAAACACAGTCGGCATTTTCCCTGCAGACCGCAGCGGTCTGCTTGCAGGCTGTGTGCACGCTGAGCGCCCTTGCCCCCACCAGCAGAGAAACTCCCTCGCCTCTGACGGTTGACTCTGAAAACCCCCAAACGCTTGCGCCCCACAACACTTTCCCAGCGAAGAAAGTTGCCGTTTCCTCTGGCCTTGGGCCTAGGGGGTGGGGGAGCGTGAGGCCTGTTCAGGCCCTCCCAAAAACGCCTCCTTGTGGCGGGGCCTGTGCTGGGAGAAGCAACCTCCCAACAGACCAGGATTCTCAGTCAGTGGCCGTCAGCACACACTTTCGGTCGGGTATATACCCTGAGCTCCTACCACGTGCCATGCAGAAGGTTTTGGGCTGAGGGAGCTGAGT